TCTACCATAAGTGTTCCTTCCCAGATGTCACAGACATGGCTCAAGTTCAGGATGCTGTTAAACAGCTGGCTTGGCAGAATGAGCTGTCTTGAGGGCCTTGAATTTTACATGGTGCCTTCACACTCACTGTTTCATTTAATCCTTACCACAGTTTCCTGAGATCTACATTCCTATCTCCAATTTATCAGTAAGAGAACTGGAGCACAGGGAGCTTAAAAAGAATCACAAGGTCACACAGCTAGAAAGCCCAACTTGAAACCCATGTCCTCCAACCCCAAATAGTATGTTCTTTCTCCTACATCTGTCTTCTGGGGTAGCCTCTGAGACCTGAGCTCAATTTGGAGTCTAATCTCATGAGGGACAGAGTCACCTCTCATTTCATCTGTGTCTCGAGACTGTAAAGTCACTACATATTGAGTGTGACTGAGCTCATGCAGGAAGGTTTTTTACCACGAATATAGAATTCCTAGGATGATATATATGTTAGTGTTCTATTGCTCCTTAGAAAATTACCACAAATTTAGCAGCATAAAACAACACCCATTTATTAGCTCACTCTTTGTAGGTCAAAAGTCTGTTGCAGTGTGGCTGAAATCTTTGCTCAGGTTTTCTCATGCTGAAATCCAGAGGTCAGCCTAGAAACAGCCTCATCTGAGGGGTTAGAGACTTTTTCCGAGTTCACATGGTTGTGGTAGGACTCCGTTCCTTGCAGGTGTAGGACAGAAGTCCCTGCTTCCTTGTTGGCTGTCCACTTGAAGACCTTCTGCTTTTAGAGGTCATTCACATTCTTTCTCACATGGGCTTCTCCCTCTGTCTTCCAACCAGCAACAGTGTCAAGTACTTCACACATTTTGAATCTCTGACTTTGACCAATGGCCACTTTTAAAACTCATGATTAGGTCAGGCTCACTTGAATACTTTCCCTATCTTAAGGTCAACTGTGCCATCTAACATAACAACATTACATAACTTAACGTAACGTAACGTAACGTAACGTAACTTAACATAACATAACATAATCATAGGAATGATATGATAGTCACAGGGTCTATGGATTACAGTGCAGAATCCTGAGTACTGGCATTTTTAGAACACTGCCTCCTACACTGTGTCTTTAAATGTTTCCCCTTTCCCCCTAGAATAACTTAGAATGTAAAGCCATGGACATTGGAGCCAGACTGACTGGGTTCAAATTCTGGCTCCAACATTTCCTAGTCATACGATCTTGTGCAAGTTTCTGAATCTCTCAGTTCTTTAATTCTCCGAGAAACTATGGGTCTCAATGAGTTGTTATATACTTTAAATGAATTAATGTGCCAGAAAATTACTTGGCACATTGGAGCACTATGTGGGTCTTTGCTACTATTCTTGTTGATGTGACTATAATACATCCACTAATGTAACCCTAGATTTCTATTCTTCTAGGGCAGACCCATCACCTCACTTTTCTCTATGTCAGTTTCTTTATAAATGTTATAGTTATTTAATTGTCAAAAGTATAATTTATAATGTGGAAAAGACATACTTAAGTTGAATCTTTTACTCACATGAAAGAACAAAGAATTTTTCAAGTAAAACACAATCACATTTAGTTTCTAAGCTTATTTTTTAAGTGAGGGAAACATAACAGACTCAGTTGACTATATTATAAACTCATGAACAGAAACATAAAAACTTTTTTGGAACCATACCTGTTTCTAAATGGGTTCTATTTACATGTAATAACTAGGAAAAAAGGGCTATGAGCAGATGGGAATAAGAAGCTTAGGGAAAGATGTGGAAGCTGAAAAGAGACTGAAAGAAAGATGGAAGGGATGAGAAGAAATAGAAAACCATTGAGAAAAAGAGAAGAAGAAACAGGCAGGAGCAAAGGAAAGACCACTGAAAAGTAGAGAGGGCAGGTAAGGAAAAGGGGGAGACACTGCTAAAATTTATTGGGCATCTAATATATGCCTGACTTGGCTAGGGACATAGGTTTTCTCACTGAATCCTCAGAACAACTCAATGGAGTCAGTATTATTGTCTCCATTAAAGAGACAACAGTGACTAAAAGAGTCTAACTTTCCAAGATCAATTATGTTAGTATACAGATTAGAACCTACATCTTTTTAGAGCTCATTGTAATGCGCTGCTCCCCTGTCCAAAGAACTAATGGTGAGATTGAAAGTACTTGTCACAGCTTATTGGTCCATCTCTGAACAGTGTTCCTGTTAGGTGGACTTGGGTGTCACTGTCCCTTAATACTACCTTATGATGTTAATTACTTGAGTAAAAATATTTGGATTCTAGATAAAGTAGAACTTCCAAATATTTACACCTCAGGATAAGTCACTCTACTGAGTCCAGTTTCCTCTTCCATAAAATATAGGCTTTGAACTAGATAAATTGCCAAATCCTAAAAATCTATACTTAATGTCATGCTGCCAGAATTTCAATTGATTTTTCTTGATCTCTTAGATGTCTCCCAACCATTCTAGTTCAGGGCAGGAGGCAGTAAGGGGGGAAGCAATCTCAGTGGTGGTAGCAAGGATCTATCAAAATGAAATAAAGACCCATACAATAGATGTCTTCACATAAGCAAAAGGCTGCAATGTGGATTGAGGAGTAAGTATATTTAGTTGCTCAAGTTAGGACCCACTATTAGAGCTTTCCAAGCTGTTTCCAGCACAACCTTAGGAGGCAGTATTTAACATATGCAGTCATAGGCTGTGGCCCTGGTTCCAGAAAGCCAGAACAAGACCCATGTGTAGAGGTCAGAATAAAAAAAAAATTGTGGCTCAATAGAAAAATAACAAACTTTGTAATGTTTGAGTTGCCCCTTAAGACTGTGAAAAACTTTATCTTTAGGAGTCTTTAGGAAGAAACCACATGATGTAGAAGATTCTACTCTTGAACAAGAGCTTAGAGAGTACACAAGTGATATTCAAGATTAATTTTTGCATGTATTCAGATGATCATCTGAGTCTTTAAGTCTTAATTTTATGATCTGATATTATGGCTAAATAGTATCTACCTTATATGGCTATTTCAAGTATAAAGATGACGGCATATATTTATGTTCATCCTTTCCTTCCTTTTTTCCTTCCTTTCCTTTCCTTTCCTCTTTCTCTCTGTCTTTCTCTCTTTTATCTATCTATCTATTGATCTATCTATGTTTATTTATCTTAGCACAATTCCCCACACATAATAAAACCTCAACAAATTTTAGCTAGCAATATGATTATTCTCTTTATAACTACTGAATTCTGCTTCTAGAAGAACTTCCTTTTACCTCTGCAGGCATGAGGTTGCTACCTATATTTGCAGGCACACAGTGGTAGCATGCCACTTTTCATTTCTAACTGTGGGGATAGGCATGTGACATAGTCTGTTGTATACCAAACCTTCGAGCTAGAATTTGGCAAAGTGATGGAAATTCCCCTATATCTAGGCAGAGTAGTAAGAGATGATGACTGTGGGCTAGCAATTTCAGAACCATCTTCCAACAATTCTATTCCTAAACTTTGAAAATGGTGCCTCACCAGGTTCAGTATTAGCAAACCCATTACCCACTGTGACTCATAAGAATTACACAGTATCCATTTCAAATTGTTCACTCTGGAGCATGGACATTTCCGTACTCCAAAATTAATCTCATCAATTCAGCTTGAAAATTCTATTGTCAAAAAGCATGTGTTTCCTGTGGGAGTGTCACTCATGTTTTTTGTCTCGATAGGAGATGCAGATGCACCTGAAAAAAAAGCTTGTGATTCTCTTCCACAAGCTGTCCTAAGTAATCAGTGCATTCAAACAAGCAGATAGGGAACAAAATGTCCATGACTGGTTTATAAGAAAAACAGTAAACTAGCTTACTTATGCTTAATGGGGGGGAAAAAAAAAAAACAAAAAACAAAAACTAAAGAAAGGCTACACAGCTTATATGTGTGATACTTAGATCACAGAACTCAATGTGGCTCCATGCAAGTTAAAGTTATTCTTACCTATAGGACTTTGTTTGTGCTAACTTCCCTCCTGCTACTCATTAGTTTACCTTCTTTACCCATCTCCTTTAATGAATTCATTAATTCAAAAACTCAGGCATTCATTTAGCAAGAATTTGTTGGTTCACTTCTATATTTGACTTCTTGGCCTGAGGGGATTCACGGTCTAGTAGAAGCATGAAAATAACACTGGGCTATGTTTTTCTCCCCAGGGAAATCTCTTCTAATTGTTCAATCTACAATGCCTTTTAGCTAATGCTTTGATCTCTGATAGAATTTTATATTATTTACTGATTGTCTCATGTGTGAGTCTTAGTTGCCCAAATGATCTTCAGTTCTTTAAAGAGCAGGGGCCCATCTCTGTGTAGTATCTGACTCCACTCCATCCATCTACTTAAGCTCACCTTGTGGTCCTCATCCAGTCAAGTTGGTTTCTCTCTGTTGGGATAACTTGTTCTTTCTTCCTCTGTGTTCCAATTCAGATTTGTGGAGTTAGTGAAATCTTAATTATTTTTAAGATTCAGAATAGAATCTTACTATGGAATAGGTTTTTAGATTCTCTGTTCAAACACCTACAGAAACTCCCTTATAAACTCCCTTATAAATGGTTGCACAATCTATGAATACATTCAGTGTCTATACCATTGCCTTAATTGCTAGTACTACTTATAGTATATTGTTTTCTATACATTTTATTATTTGCTTATCAGCTCTGAGTACTGAAGGAAGGAAGCTTCCGACTAGACTGAAGGCCCCCTGGAACAAAAGATTTATCTGCATACCCTCCTCACGGTGCCGGGCTGAATGTTGAATGTAGTGCCCTTCAACAAAACAAATTAATTACTGGTTGAAATTTAGTAAGTAATAAGAAGTCTTCAAAGTCATTACAGAAAGCTTGCTTTGACAGCCATGTCTTTCAAGTACAGCTTTGTAAAAATTATTATTCTGCAAAGGTATAAACATGTCTTATTGATGTGGCAGATTTACTTTCCAAATAATTCTTATGTTTCAGAGCTTTACCTGAGTCTGCCATCCTCTGCTGCAGCACCACCCGGTATAATCTTCGTAATAAATATGCCAGGGTCATCTCCAATGTGGGGATTATCTGTCCCTCCAGCAATACTGAATCCCAGGCCAGAATTCCCCTGGAGAAACAATAAGTAGACATTAAATGATATGGCTGTCACCTAAACCTAGTTCCCCTTGCATCCTGTGTTATCATCTTACTACTCAAATGGAAATCAGGTGATAACAGTCTTCTATGCAAAGCTATAAAGTGCACTGTCAGCAGACAAAGAAAGGTCAGGAAAAATACTCAAGTTTGTCTCTGCATTTCAAGAGGTCTAAGGGGTCTTACACTTTTGCTTATTCAAAGGACCTGATATTTTTGCTTGTAAGAAATAATTGCTGTCACACAGCAATTAAAATGATCTTTACACAGTAGGAAATACAAGGTTACAAATTGTGTTATATGCAGAATTGCAAAAACATTAGTGTTACTTGTAAAAATTTTCATACATATGGAAAAGAATGGAAGGAAACCAGTTACGTGAAAACTGATTTGGTAGAGTAATAAATTTGGCTGTTTTAATTTTGTTATTTCCAGTACCATTATGTACAAAATAAATGTGTTCCAATGTAACAAGAAATGTTGACTTCAGAAGGCAGGTCTTCCTTCTATAGTTATAATAAATCTGAGATACTTTCCAGTAATAAACAGGTTTTAATTTGCAAGAGACATCGACAAGGAATGCATTACTACTGTGGCATATAAATTTGATAATTTATATTCTAATAAAGCTTTCATACTTCCTCATGCAGATTATAGCAATTGGCATCCAATATACATGTAACCTTCTAAATCTGTATGTAACACATAATTAAAAGTCTTCCCCAAATTCACAAACCATATTACTTAACATATTTATTATTGAATAATTTCTTTTAATGTCCATCCCCCTGGATACGTTATGTTTTCATATTATATTCTGATGTTTTTTCTAATTCACATTATATTTTAAATCACATTCATACACCTGGGTAGTGTTTATAAATATCCATTTTAAATGACTAAATAATAATTCATCAAGGTGATATACTAGCATGTATTTAAGCAGTCCACTGTCACTGGATAGTTAATTTCTCTACAACTAATATAGCTTCCTAAAGTTACAATTACTTGATTAATTTCTGCTCTTCTACAAAAAGTGATGAGGACTAAGAATTTAGTGGTTATCCAGAAAAATTAATTAAGACATTCAATTAGTCAGAGAAGTTCAATGTCAAGATAAGATCACCTGTAACTTGACAGTTATATCACTGCAAACGTCAAGGTAATGTTTAGCAATTTTTATTGACTAAATAATAAAAATTTCAGAAGACTAACTTCACAATTGTACATTTACATTTAAAGGCAGAACTTAATAATTCAACCATAACAACTGAAGTCATATGTCTTTATACTTCTGGAAGTTCTCTCATTCTGATTTTCTTTGAAAAAATCCAAATCTCATTGAACAGAGATATTACTCAGTAGCACTCATGTAATCATAAATTTATTTAATATTATTTAAACACCATCTCTGTGTCTGGCACTGGACTAAGTTCTGACAGTACAGCCGTGAACATGTTAGTTTATGAGGTACATGAAGCGAAAGTGCAAGGAATAGAAATGGCTAACAAAACAACAAAACAGAGGAACTTTTCCTGAAGGGGAAGAACAGTTAGCTGCTTTTAAAGGGATCAGGATGGGAACTGAGGATGAGGCTAGAAGCTTCCAGGCAAAGTAAGAATGTGTGTAAAATATCTGAAGTGAGAAATGGTATGCTAGTTCCAAGATACAGACAAGAAGGCTCAAGCAAAGAGAGCAAAATGAGCTGGGTGAGGTAAGTATTTATGATAAATGAAAGTGAATCTATTCTTGGTTTTAGGTACCTGTTGATGCCAGATGAGTCTGTCAGTATTGTTGGAGTATCTACTATGTGACTGTAAGGCTACAGGGAAGCTAAGGCTGCAGGGAATAAGACCAGATGCTTTCTCCCTTCATGGAATTCAAGGAAGGGCAGAAAAGGCAGTGATAGTCTGGCATCTGGTAATCAATACATTTTCACTATAATTTCTACTACATTGTAATGTATATCGTTACCAGGGCAGCATTTAGATGACTTATGAGGCAGCTTCTTTAAGACCTTGGGGTTTGGGAAGAAAAGAAAGGGAGATGAGTATCTTCATTGTAATGTGGGTCTAGTTCCAAGAACATCAATCCGAGTGTATTGATTTTATAAGAGTTGGCACTTCTGAGATAACTTCTTGAGTAAGGGGCTAGGGAAAGAGGCAAGCACAGACTAGGAGGTACTCAAGTGCTTTCTCTGGATATTATACATATTTTAGGAGAGGACACTCAAAACTTTGCCATTTGAGAAAAATGCTATCTAGCTCTTAACCTTATCTTCTTCATTTCTTGCTTTACACTTTTACCCCCAGGAATACTGAACTGAGCTGCTGGCTCTTTCCTGCATAGTCCACACTGTGACTCATATCTTTGCCTTTACTCATGCTGTTTTCTTTCTTTTAATTTTTTAAAATGTTTATTTATTTTTGAAGGAGAGAGAGAGACAGAGCGTGAGCAGTGGAGGGGGAGAGAGAGAGGGGGGACACAGAATCTGAGCTGCCAATGCAGGGCTCGAGCTCACCAACTATGAGATCACAATCTGAACCGAAGTCAGTCACTTAACCGACTGAGCCACCCAGGAGCCCTTACTCATGCTGTTTTCTCTACCAGAAATTTTTTATCTCCCTTTGCCTGGCCCAGTTCTTTCCATTATCTAAGATAAGGCTCACATGAACCCCAATGCTTATAGCAGCACTATCAATTCTAGCCAAATTATGGAAAGAGCCCAAATGTCCATCGACTGAATAAAGATGTAGCATATAATATATTATATGTATAATATATATATAACATATATATTATGTAATGCAATACTACTTGGTGATAAAAAAAAAGAGTGAAATTTTGTTATTTGCAACAAGATGGATGGGACTAGAATGTATATGCTTAATGAAATAAGTCAGCGAGAGAAAGACGAATATAAGATTTCACTCATATGTGTAATTTAAGAAACACAATAGATGAACATCGGGGAAGGGAAGGAAAAATAGAAAAACAGGGAAGGAGGCAAAACCTAAGAGACTCTTACGTGAAGAGAACAAACCGAGCATTGCTGGAGGGGAAGGAGGTGGGAGGATGGGTTAAATGGGGGATGGGCATTAAGGAGGACACTTGTTGGGATGAGTACTGGGTGTTATATGTAAGAGATGAATCATTGGATTCTACTCCTGAAACCAATACCACACTGTAAGTTAACTAACTTGAGTTTAAGTAAAAAAAGGAAAAAAGAAAGAAAAAGGCTGAGAATGTATGTGCTACAGATAATACTAAATGGTCACCCCAAAGCCACTTCTCTGGGTAATTTAGTCCTCTTTTGAGTTTTCTGCACTTATTTATGCCATGCACAATGTTATTTGGATGTTATATATTTATAAGTGCATCCTTTCTTCAAACTAAGCTTGTGAAGACAGAAACTGTGTAGTATTCATCTTTGTTTCTTGGTGCTTTCTCTGCCACATAAATAATTGATGAATGAATGAACAAATAAACTTACTGAGAATATGCAAGATCTAAAGGAAGATACAGAATGTACGCAGTAAAAATCCACACTGTGTTAAGAAATACAATATAGAAGTATAAGCCATTTAATTAAGTGTAGCCACAAGAATAAAAATGGAGAGCCCAGGTATTCAAATTGTGGCTTAGCTGAAGGATGAATGATGAGAAAAAAGTGTCCAAACTTTGTCCAAACTGACCAGGGGATAGGCTGCTCTGGAAGGGAGGTAGGGCCCTTCACTCACAGAGCAGCTGCATAGTCACTGGACATGAGGGACCCGAGAGTCTCCTGAGAGGTTAAACCAGATGACGTTAAAGTATTATTCTGGATCTTTGGCTAGATTTGTAGAACTACTCTTGCCAACAAATAAAAAGGAATGCTTTAGAGGTGGAAGTAGATCACTGTTGCATTTTTAAAACTTACCTTGTTAATCAATAGATCTTTGAAGTAATACCTATGAAAACAATCTAGAAACATTTAACTACTATTTTTAGAGCTGACTCTAATATGGAGAATATAGTGGCTTTGCCCTCAAATCTACTCTGAGGAACAGAATGGATCAGGGAATCCATTATGAAAAGAGGTAGGTAGAGGCAGAGTATAACTGTATCTGTGTTTCCAGTCTCAAGGATTGCCAAAAGCAAATTTTGTGTTTCAGTTAAAACCAGTCTGCCAGCTGGGCCTGGCCAGTCCCCATGGTTTTTTAGAGGATGTTCATCTGAATTCAGCTAAGGAAATTATTTAAAGTGTTTTCCATCTCCCCTTATTGTTCTCTCCCAGCCGTCCCTTTCAGGCCTTCGCTACCAGCCAGCAGCATTCAGTGGAGAGAGGGACAGATAAAAAGCAGCAGTGAAATTACTGCCTGCTGTTCTCCATGGCTGAATCACTCCAGTCCCCTGATAATCATCACAGAGACAGCCAGCTGCAGGGGCAGACCCCAGAGCCTCTCTTTTTTGAGCAGCAATCTCTCCATGTGAACAGGCAGACCCCTGGCTGACACCCTTAGATCCTGAGAATTGTGGCTAATTAACCGAGTGTTGATACTTGACCCAGTCAATGGCAACCATGAGGTGCCATGCTGGTGAGAGCAGTCCCTGTGTGAGACTCTGGGTGGGCTGCTGTTCCCTTTCAGTTGGACAGGTTCCATGATTGATGAATGTGATTGGCACGAACCACTCTTTCTCCAGGTTCCCAATCCTCCACATTTGTTGACGCTCCCCGAAGAGCACAAGCTCATTGCCCAGCCAAATGGCACTTCCTCTTTCATGTACTATATACTCCATCTCCTTTCAGAAAAAGGATCAAAAAAAGAGGAAAGACACTTTATCAATTACCCAATGGTTGCAAATATGAATACCATAGCCTCAGAAAAGTTCCTCTTCCATTCAAAGTTCTTCTCTACATGGAAATTACCCCCCAAATAGGGTTATAAAAAAAGGAGTGGAAAATAAAATCATATCATGATCATATACATTTAT